GGCCCCCGGGGGAGGGCGGGCGGGCGTGCGGGGCTGAGGCCGGGCCGCGGGAGCCTGGCTGGCGGCGCGGGGCGCGGGTCTGGCGGGCTCAGGGGAGCGGGGCCCGGAGGAGGGAGGGGGCGGGGGCGGGGATTGGGGGGCGGAGAAGGAGCGGAGGGAGGGGAGGCGCGCCCGGCGGGCTCGGTGCTGCCCCTGGCGGCCGCGGCGGGCACTGCGGCGCCGTGGGAGGTCCCAGGCTTTGCGTCCTCCAGGCTGGCGGCCCAGGTACCTCCACATCCCCATCCCTAGAAGGTCCTCCCTGCTATTGTGTCTGTCCGCTTACAACCGGAGGGTCCCCTTATCTCTCTCTCTCTCTCTCTCTCTCTCTCTCTCTCTCTCTCTCTCTCTCTCTCTCTCTCTCTCTCTCTCTCTTTTTTAAGTTCTCTCTCTGTTTTTTAATCCTCACCTGAGGATATTTTCCCATTGATTAAAAAAATATTTTATTGATTTTTTTTACAGAGAGGAAGAGAGGGATAGAGAGTTAGAAACATCAATGAGAGAGAATCATCCATCAGCTGCCTCTTGCACCCCCCCCCCTCCACTGGGGATGTGCCCGCAACCAAGGTACATGCCCTTGACCGGAATCGAACCTGGACCCTTCAGTCTGCACGCTGACATTCTATCCACCGAGCCACACTGGTTAGGGCTCTATTGATTTTTAGAGAGAGGGGGAGGGAGGAGGAGGAGGAGTGAGGGAGAGAGACAGAGAGAGAAACATGGGTGTGAGAGAGACACACGGATTGGTTGCCTCCTGCACCCGCACTGACCAGGGTCCGGGCCAGGGAGGAGCCTGCAACCCAGGTAGGTGCCCTTGATAGGAATTGAACCCACAATCCTTCAATCCACAGGCTGATGCTCTATCCACTGAGCCACATCAGCTAGGGCCCACGCATTCCGTCTTCACAAGGGCCCTCCCAGGTGTCCAAGAACCTCCCCAAAGGATGACTCCGTGTACATAGGGATCACCCCGCCCCTCGCCACTCAGGTTGCCTAGGCAACCTCCCAGGATCCCACTGAGGCCACACTGGTCCATGCCTTCAGAGGCCCTCGGAAAGGAACCTGCAGCTTTGTTGTCATTTACCCGGGTAGGCACAGTTGGAGCTAAAACTGAGGTCCCCAGACATCTGCCCCAGGGACCTAACACCTCATCCCACCCCCAGGGAGCAGGGCTAGACTTTGCACTTGAGGTCCCCACGCCAGGTGTCCCTTGTGGGGAACAAGATGGGCGAGAGGAAGAAGGGGAGGTTCGGACCCCACCTGTCTCCTGATATTTTGTCCCAGGTTGGTGAGAAGGGCTGGGGGTGTTGCCCGTGCCATGACCAGAGAGAGAAATGATGGTGGTGATAGTGGTGGTGGTAGGGATGATAGTGGACATGTTGGTGATGAAGGGGATGCTGATGTTGATAATGGGGATGATGAAGGGGATGGTGATGGTGATGATGATGGTGATGGTGATGTTGATGATGGTGGTAGTGGTGGTGTTGATGATGAAGTTATGATGGTGATGGTGAGGATGGTGATGTTGGTGATGATGATGGGGATGATGCTATGATGGGGATGGTGATGATGGTGATGTTGGTGATGGTGGTGTTGATGATGAAGTTATGATGGTGATGGTGAGGATGGTGATATCGGTGATGATGATGGGGATGATGAAGGGGATGGTGATGGTGATGATGATGGTGATGGTGATGTTGATGATGGTGGTGGTGGTGGTGTTGATGATGAAGTTATGATGGTGATGGTGAGGATGGTGATGTTGGTGATGATGATGGGGATGATGCTATGATGGGGATGGTAATGATGGTGATGTTGGTGATGGTGATGATGATGATATTACGATGGTGATGGTGAGCATGGTGATATTGATGATGATGGTGGTGAGGATAATGGTGGTGATGGTGATGATGATGTTATGATGGTGATGGTGATGATGGTGATGTTATGATGGTGATGGTGATGGTGATGGTGATGTTGACGATGGTGGTGGTGGTGGTGTTGATAATGATGATGAAGTTATGATGGTGAGGATGGTGATATCGGTGATGATGATGGGGATGATGCTATGATGGTGATGGTAATGATGGTGAGGATGGTGATGTTGGTGATGGTGATGGTGATGATGATGATGTTACGATGGTGATGGTGAGCATGGTGATATTGATGATGATGGTGGTGAGGATAATGGTGGTGATGGTGATGATGATGTTATGATGGTGATGGTGAGGATGGTGATATTGGTGATGATGATGGGGATGATGCTATGATGGGGATGGTAATGATGGTGATGTTGGTGATGGTGATGATGATGATATTACGATGGTGATGGTGAGCATGGTGATATTGATGATGATGGTGATGTTGATGATGGTGGTAGTGGTGGTGTTGATGATGATGATGAAGTTATGATGGTGATGGTGAGGATGGTGATATTGGTGATGATGGTGGTGAGGATAATGGTGGTGATGGTGATCATAATGATGTTATGATAGTGATGGTGAGGATGGTGAGAGTGGTGATCATGGGGATGATGATACTGGGCGCCCACCTCATACTGGTGATGATGCTGGTGATAATAATGATGATGTTATGATGGTGATGGTGATGGTGATGGTGATGATGATGCTGACAGTGATGATGAAGCCATGTACACTGACTAGGAATCACACCAGTGATCTCCTGGTTCATTGGTAGATGTTCAACCACTGAGCCGAGCTGGTCAGATTAAAATTAAAACATTTTTAAACCAAAAAAGTGAGGATAGCTACCTCCTCTCTCTCTCTCTCTCTCTCTCTCTCTCTCTCTCTCTCTCTCTCTCTCTCTCTCACACACACACACACACACACACATACACACACCTCCCTTTCACTCCCCTCAGAAAAAGGCTTGCATTGACTGAATGTTCTCTCTCTCTCTCTCTCTCTCTCTCTCTCTCTCTCTCTCTCTCTCTCTCTCTCTCTCTCTCCTCTCTGCTTCACCCCAGCTCTTTCTCTCATGTCCACCTCTCTGTCTCTCACACAGGGTCTGGGTCCCAGATGCCTGCAGCCTGGCGTTTCTCGAGAATTCCCTTATCTTGCCCCGAGTAAGCCCAAGACACCCATCCTCGCGCAGGGGAGACCTGAGACGCTGCCAGCAGAAACGTGCTGCCTCGACCTTCTCCTGCCCTTGCTCCCCGGACCAGCTTCTCCGGGGGAAGACAGATGGTTCCTCCAGGGCGGTCTTCGAGCATGTATTCCCAGGGGTTTCCCTGAATACCCTCCCGACACCACCTCAAGCTCCATGGGTGTCCATTCAGGACGTGGGCGCCCGAGAACCCCCCCACACACACACACCACACACACACACACACACACACACACACACACACACACGCCCCGAGGAGGATGGCTCCGAGCACATGGCGGTTGCTAGTTAATCCCAGCCCAGGCACGCCATATGGGGAGAGGGACACAGCCTCGCCAGATGTTCCCGTTTTCCGAGAGGAGACAGAAACCTGGGTATTTTTAAAAGCAAAATCCCTCAGCTTTTAAATGTGAAAACTAATTCGAATGAAGGAAAAAAAAGAAATGCTATGTGGGCCAAATAAAGCCTGCCTGTGGGCTGGAGCCGGCTGGGTTGTAAGCTCTGGTCCAAGCAGACACCCTCCGAGCGGCACCCGCATGGAAAGGCCCCAAAGAGACGGAGGAGAAGGAGGAGTTGGGGAGCTGGGAAGAGAGCCAGAGAGAGGCAGCAATGCCCCCGCCGCCAGGCAGGCAGCCTGGCTAGTCACTCTGGACGGTAGACAGGGGCGGGTCCTGGCCCATGGTCTCAGCATGGCCTCCTCCCACGATGTAAACGCTGGCTTCCTCCGAAACCAGTGTGGCTCAGTGGATAGAGCATCGGCCTGCGGACTGAAGGGTCCCAGGTTTGATTTCGGTCAAGGGCATGTGCCTTGGTTGCGGGCACATCCCCCCCCCCCAGTGGGGGGTGTGCAGGAGGCAGCTGATGGATGTTTCTCTCTCATCGATGTTTCTAGCTCTCTATCCTTCTCTCTTCCTCTCTGTAAAAAAATCTATCTATCTATCTATCTATCTATCTATCTACCTATCTTTAAAAAAAACACACACAACCACTGGCAAGTGGCTGTGAGTGCATAGAGTGGATTAGGAGCACACTGAGATAACCTTTAGAACATACAGAACTAATCTAATCTGCGACGGCAGTATCTTCAGAGCAGACAGGGACAGGGCTGGAGCGATGGGGACAGGGCTGACTGGGGAGGGGGCGGAGGGGACTCTTGGGGTGATGGTGTTGGTTGCTCTGTATTTTAAAAAATATATACTTTATTGATTTTTTTTTTTTTTTTTTTTTTTTTTTTTTTACAGAGAGGAAGGGAGAGGGACAGAGAGTCAGATACATCGATGAGAGAGAAACATTGATCAGCTGCCTCCCGCATGCCCCCTACTGGGGATGTGCCCGCAACCAAGGCACATACCCTTGACCAGGAATCGAACCCGGCACCCTTCAGTCCCCAGGCGTGGACTTTTTAGCTAGCAAAGCCCATCCATGCTGACTTGTGGGTTACAACCCCTGCGCCATGGAAACAGAAGATGTGAACAGCAGGGGGAACTGTCTCTACAGCTTCTCTGTACATTTAAAACTGCTCTATATTTAAAACTTACCTTAAAAAGGAATTCCAAAAAAAATTCTTTTTTTTTTCCCCTCAAGTGACAGACGAAGAAAACGGCCGCGCTCAGCGGTGGGAGCAGGAGACAGTGTTTGGGGTCTCCCTCCCTCCGCCCGGGCCCCCTGCCCTTCTCCTCGGCTGGGTCAGGGGCAGGCCTTCCTAAGGTTCCTGCTACGATGAGGTTTTCCCACAGCCTCGATGTCAGGGTGCCCGGGGTCCAGCCTAACTTACCATGAAAACACCCCCAGGGCGCCCTGGACAGTGTGGCTCCGTGGTTAGAGCGTTGGCCTGCGGA